AGTCTTAAAGTTTCTTATTTCAGATTTTTATCTATAGCAAAGTCTTATAAATCTTCTCGAGTGTAGTAAGAAAAAAGTGGGCAAGTGAAATAATAATGTAGTCATATAATAAATTATGCAGTTACTAAGGTAAAATAATCATGTTTTATTTATAGAAAAGCAATTACTAGTATTATTCGAATACGAGTTGAAGTTTTCCTTTAATTCATCATTCAGATATGAGTTAAATTTAGTTTATTATTTGAGTATGAGTTAAAGCTTTCTTTATTATTCGGGTACGAGTTAAAGCTTTCTTTAAATTTAGTTTATTATTCAGATATAAGTTAAAGTTTTCTTTAAATTTAGTTTATTATTCGGGTACAAGTTAAAGCTTTCTTTAAATTTAGTTTATTATTCAGGTATGAGTTAAAGTTTTCTTTAAATTTAGTTTATTATTCGGGTACGAGTTAAAGCTTTCTTTAAATTTAGTTTGTTATTTGAGTATGAGTTAAATTTTTCTTTAAATTTAGTTTATTATTCAGGTACAAGTTGAAGCTTTCTTTAAATTTAGTTCATTATTTGAGTACAAGTTAAATTTTTTTTATCATCTGGGTATTTCCTTTAATTCATCATTCGGATACGAGTTAAAGTTTTCTTTAAATTTAGTTCATCATTCGGGTACAAATTGAAGTTTTCATTGGAGTACAAGTTGAAGCTTTCCTTAAATTTAGATTATCATAGCTATACAAAAATGTATTTATTAGTAAAATCAAAAAGAAATTTAAAATTATAAAAAGATATGCTACGCTAGACAAAGCTATCAAAAGAATAAATCACAAAGTTATTAATAAAATACTTGCTATTTTGAAAATTTCATTACTATATTTTCTCTTCCTAATTGATTCCAATGGATAAAGAATATACTGTAAATCAATTGCAAGATGATTATTTTACTGATGAAGATCTAGAAGAAAGTTGGAGCACAAGTTAAAATGACCTTATTTTTACTCATAATTATATTGCTGCAATGAAAGCAAGAAATTTATTAAAAGATCAGATTTATTTAAAAATACAAGATGAAGAAGATATTGAGGAGATCTTACCTGAAGATAATAACGATGAGAAGGAAGAGCATAATATTGATCGTAAAATTCCAGTAATCGAAACAAAGAAATAATCACCTTGTGTCATTGTTGATAATTCAAAGGGAGAAATTGGATACTGCAATTCAATAACCAATTTAGTGTCATTATTACAATTAATTGGAACTTGGGAAATAGAAATGAATTTGGAAGAAAATTATTTAACTGAGCTAAGAGTTTGTTCTAGTCACTTTAATTTTGATCATAGTAAACTCCACTCATCTAATGCTAAACAAGTCCGAGATGTTAGTCAAAGTGCAATTCACATAAAGAAATGTTTGCTTTGTAATAAATATAAAAGCTTTTTTAGCAGAGGTGATGATTGTATAGAACATATAATTGGAATATATATGGAAGAAATATTCAAATACCTTGTCTGGACTTAAAATCATGTCCTATTTTTCAAGAAATCCCAAACATCTCTTCAAAAGCTACTCACAGTAATCGTATTCAGTATATCTGTATAAGATGTTTTGAGAGCAATAGTGAACATCTTCATAAACGTTAAGAATCTGGAAAAAAATCTCTGACATGTGTTGATAATAAACTGCATAATAATGATGTTGATCAAGCTTTAAAATTATTTTCACGATGGTTATTAAACCTCTCTGATTCTAAAGATGAAAGTAAAAAAAAAAGTATTATGGCATATGATGAAATTAAATTCAGAATTAATCAAATTAACTTCCATAGATACAACATGCTATTCACCTAGTTTGTTTCTTGTAAAAACTGCTATGAAAATTAATAAGTTTGATGATAATTTACCTACAATAAAGAACATCTAAAAGTGGAAGAATGTAAACAATTTGGAGAAACACTAGGAAATTCTATATGTAACTTACATAAAAACATTGAAAAACACCATAATGGTCTAGAAAATCCAGCTTCATTAGATGAATATTATAATAGTTTTCCTTCGATTCTTACTAGTTTTTTGACAGATTGGTTGGATCTATTGAGAAACGGAAATATATAGTTAGAGAAAGAAAAAATAAACAACATGAAAAAAAAGAAACAGAATTTAATAAAGAAGCTATAAAAAAAATTACATCCTTTCTTTCATCAATTATCCTAACAATAGTATTTCATTCATGGAAGATCTGGCTTACTTATACCATGGCTTCTTTATGTAAAAAGCCTAAATTAATATCTTCTCTACAAGCAATACTACGTGCAGTACATATACATGGAAATATGAAACAAGACTAGAAAAGGAACGCATTAGTAAATATAATCCTTTAACGAGATTGATTAAAGGACCAAATATTTGGAATGTTGCAGTGATTGACAATATTGATTTCAAAAATATTGTTTTTCAGTATGGTAATATATATAATATCACATGGCAATCTGCACATGCCATCCTAAGAATGGTGTTTCAGTTTGAACTTCCATGCAGTCTGTCATCTCTTATTTCAAAAAATCAAGATCCAGAATCTCGAAGAAACTTATTTGGTCAATCAGCATTTACGACTGAATGGGAGATAAAATTTGACCAAATAATAAATCAATTATTATATAAATATGAAAGAAATTTTGGAATTAAAGAGATTGACACAGAAATCTTTGCTAGAATTGAGACAGGATGTCAAATAAATCCACTGAATGTTGTTATCTTGGAACCTGGACCAGCACCTAATAGCAATACAGCCATATTTGAATCAATTGACATGTATTTAAAAGACTTTGAACAAAACATTATTGATTTAGCATGTGATGCAACTATTTTTGCAAGAACTAAATCATATAAAAATGAAAACTTAACTTGTAGATTTCTTCTTGGACAATGACATACGTCAAAAGCCATGTGTAGTGCTTTGATTGCAGCATTTAGTGAATATGGTATTTATAGCATGGCAGCAAAACTTGGTGTCCAATTTCTTGACAAGCTAGAGCAAAATGTAAACTATTGTGCAACTAGCAATGTGTTGGGATTGATACATGCTGCTATAGAAATAGCCATTCATTTTTATATAAATAATAATAACATGACGTTAGAAAAAGTGGTTAATAGAAATAATAATACTTTGAAAATATGGTTACAGTATTACCATCTAGCTGGATACTGGAAAGCTCATCGTGCAGGAATTTGTTCAGGTAATGCAAATATGCAATTAGAAAACTTGGCAGCATTTGCATCATTATTTCCTGTTACTGGAAAAAATATTTATGCATTATCAGTAGTAATCTTTCTGGAATCCATATCACGTCATCCTCAGCAACGTGAGTTACTCAAGTATGTTGCTTTGGTAAATCTTACCAGAGAAAATCACTATTTAGCTTTTGATGAAGCTCTTGAACAATATGGTGTTAAATTCGTTAAACAAAATTTGATCTCTAACATATCAGATTCAGTGCTTCTGAAACAGCGAATAACAGTAATCCAAGAAGAATGCAAAAGAATGTTAATACTATACAACGAGTTTGTAGGTAACAGTAATGTTAGTACAAAAGATCAGATAGTTAAACAACATACAGAAGCTTTATGACAGCTTGTTGATGAACTCACTTGCGCGTTTAATCTTCCTGATCCCACACAACATGATCTTTTTAGACATGCACAAAAATGAATCCAGATGATTATACAAGAATGTTTACTTTTTACGAAATTGGACTTGATTGACTAAATAATCTTCTTTATGAAGAAGTTTATAAAATTAAAAAGGTAACTACAGGAAGACAGACTAAGAATTTAGTTAAAATATCAGTTAAACAATATCAATTAGATATTAAGAATGATAATATGAGTAGTAAATAGAACTTTAAAATCAAACTGATTATTAAAGAAACTTATTTTTTCTCATTTTTTAAAAATTCTTTTAATTATGTATACTTAAAATCGTAAGAATTATCTTCTCCTATTAAAGTTAGAACTACTTAAATTATAGACATATTTGCTTGAAGATATTTTTCTAGAATTCTTGAGATGCGCTTTTGATAAGTTCTGTTATGTGAGATAAAGTATAAAATTTATTAATAAAAGTTACTGAGTGAATATAATTGAACATGAAGCTTGTTATTTACACTAACTTTTTGTTCAAAAGAAAATTGCGTAACTTTTCTTCTCAAAAAGAATGTGAGCGATAAAACTAAAAATTAAGCACTTTTTTGCTTTATAATATCTTCGCAAAAAGAAAAGACATAATAATTAAAGAACCAAATATATACACAATGTAACTAGCTGAACAAGTTTTATTAGAGCACCTAATATCATATACTTAAGAGTTTATACAGTTTTTTAAGACAAATTAAAAGGATTATCCAAGCATTTTGTATAATATTCATATGTAAATCGGTCAGTGTGACATATTCCCTGACTGGTATGTGGACTTTGGAATAGTATCTCTACCAATTATTCAAAGTGTTAGAAGCATTCAACATGTCCAGGTGTACCAGGAAGACATCAAAATTCAAAATAAAAAGTATACTTGGAATGACTGTCAACAGTTGAGAAACAAATTCCAAAACACTTTGTATG